GGGGCAGATCCATTTCCCACCCCAGCAGCTCCATTCCCCACCTCAGCAGCCCCAATTCCCATCCCAGGACCTCCACTCCCCATCCCAGGAGCTCCATTTCCCATCCTGGCCAATTTTCCCCCTTTTCCAGCCTCCCCTTCCAGCCCTGGGGTCCCTGAGTATAGCCCCAAGCAGGAAAAGGTGACAGGGATGGCAAAGGGGGTCACAGCATCCCCCAGACCCTCACATTTTCCCTAGAAATGTGGCACCAGCACCAAAATGTTCCCCATGGGGGGGTTGGCCACATCCACCCGTCACTGGGACTTAGGGCTTCTGATTCCATGGTGGGTTTGGGTTGATTTCCTTCCCTATTTCATCTCCTACTCTTCCTAATCCTGCAGGGTGTCTCTGCTGGGGTGACAGTGATGGATCCCTCCCCCCAGCTGGTCCCCACCACAGGGCACCTCACTCCATGGGCCCAGAACCCCCAGCTGTCACCCCACGCCGAGGACACCCCCGCAGGGCCACGTGTTCCCCCAAGCCCCAGCCTGGAGGTCTGGAGCCCGATGATGGGGGAGAAGCTGGAGAAACTGCGAGGATTCCCCCCAAAAACTCCATCAGCTTTGCAAGGATGTGGAAAAAAAAGTACTCTATGAAAACAGCAAAAAAAAAAAAACAAATCTGCCCAGTGAGAGCCACCGGCATCTGTCTGGGCTGGGGACCTTTGCTCCAGTGTTGGCACCAGGGACAACTTGGGCAGCTTGGTCGAGGCTGAGATATTAAACATTTCCTGAAAGGAGATGGAGGAAAAGCAGCAGGGAAGAACCAGGGAAGGGGTTGTGCTGGGATAAGGGATCACAGAACTGTCCAGGGTGGGGGTGACAGAGTCATAGAACCAGCAAATCATGAGGGCTGGAAAAGCCCTCTGAGATCATCCAGTCCAACCATCAGCCCAACGCATCCATCGCCCCTCAGCCATGGCCCCAGATGCCACCTCCACAAGTTTCCTGAAGCCCTCCAGGGCTGGGGACTCCAGCACCTCCCTGGGCAGCCTGGGCCAAGGCCTCACCACTCTGCCAGGGAAGAAATTCTGCCTCAGGTCCAACCCCAACCTCCCCTGGGGCAATTTGAAGCCATTTGCTCTTGCACTATCACTTGTTCCTTAGGAGAAGAGCCCGACCCCCACCTGGCTCCAGCCTCCTGTCAGGGAGCTGTGGAGAGCCAGAAGGTCTCCCCTGAGCCTCCTTTGCTCCAGGCTCAGCACCCCCAGCTCCCTACGCTGCTCCTCCCCACACTTGGGGTC